GCCCTGTTTGGTTTGGCCCCGCGCCACCCCGCTGCGTCCCCGAGCTGGCGACGGGCACTCAAGATCCTCAACACCCTCGAAATTCCCCCTCCCCTTATCCAAAAATATTTAACAGCAACTTTTTTGGTGTCTATACCCCTCCAAACGAGGCATCTCTCATTACCCAAAGGTGACACATTTCCCACTTTCTTGCTTTGAGCCCTTTGAGGATTCGCGACCTTTAACCCTCGCGATCGGTTTGACCCTGACGATATTGCGCAAATGAACAAGTTCAACCCCTTCCTGACTCATCCCCGTCTGACATCCGTGTCTGCTTCGGTACCGGCACGGCAAATTGGTTTTTTTGCCTCTCTTGGCTTCACCACGATGTCTGGTGAGGATGTTGTGCTGGAGAGAAAAAGGAGTATCCCTCAGCCAGCTTTATCGCCGCCTGTCTTGCACGGAGAGCAGGGGAGAGGCAGGTTGACAATCAGGTTATCGGCGTTATTTTAGAAATTTCCCTTCTTCCCCACATTCTTGTTCTAGGAAACATTCACTTTCTGCCCTAAATGGTCTTTAGTCTTCATCTATAGTTTCTATTCCGCCTGTGCAGAATGTTGCTGCACACTTCCTGCGCTTAAAAAAAGCCTCAGAGATGTTTCCTTTTGAAACGCTTCTGTGACTCGCTCTGGATGATGACTCGATAACGCCTATCGCAGGAAAGATCTGTGATGCTCAATCTGGGGCTTAAAAAACCCCCAAATTCTTAGTACACAAAAGTACCTACAGATCAGGGTAAACGTTGAAGAAAATCATAATTATGTTGAAAAGAGATTGCTGTTGTGTAATCACTTGGCAAAAGCCCTTGTGGGGAAAAAGAAACAACAAAGAGGTTGGGTGCGTTTTCTTTCTGCTGAAAACAATAGTAGGACGGGATGAGGTGTTAATAATAATTTATTTCAGGACCTTCCAGCTGGCAAATTGCAAGGCAGTTCCATCCTGCCTGCGGTGTCTGCAGCGGGGCAAACCCTCGAGCAGACGGCGCGCGGTGAAACCTCTGCGCGGTGCCTACAGTCTGTCCGCAAATAAAACCTCGGTTTCGCCACAAAACTTTAAACAGGAAGGTACAGGGAGGCGACAAGAACTCAGGGAAGAAAAATTTAGGGGTGTCGCCAGCTAACCCAGCGATCGTTGCACTGGTTGGTTTCTTTTTTTTTAAAGCTTCTCATTTCAAGTTAATTCTTTATGGAGACAAATCCTATACGTCAGTCTTAAAACAGGTGGGTTTTCTGCATTTCTCCCATCCCACCACAGACAAGCTTCACTCCTTAAACCAGTTGGAACACAGGAAAAATATGTGGTGTCAAGCCAACAGTCCACCTAATCCAGTGTCCAGTCAGCAGCAATAAATAACAGAAGATGCTGAAAAGGAGAATAAATCCTGCAGAGGTAGAAGTACTTCACATTTTGATTCTTTTCCTTTTTATCTCAAAGACTTCGAAAGAAAGAAAAATGAAGCGAATGTGGAGCTTCACCAGAAAGATGACTTTGGATTCCCCTTGAGGTGACATTTCTGTGGATGCCCTCGTTCTCAGGTGTGTGACACACTGTTCTGTTTGTTCATGTTTGGGCAAAAAAGCCTGTTAGCTCAGAAATAAAGCTGAGTCACTGTTAACATTTAAGTGCTAAAGGAAAAGTAAAATCCAAGCAGCAGACTCACTGGGTGAGGTTTTGACTTACACACCCAGGCACCTAACACCTGTAATAGAGAACGCCGTGCAAAATACACATTTCTCTTTCAAATTCTCAATTTAGTCATATAAGAACAGGTTATCAGTTAGAGGTGGCTTTTGTTACCTCCCAGGAGAATTGCCAGAGCTCATTTGGTCTTGCCTGAGCCGCTAATATTGAAAGCAGCACAAACACAAGTCACCGGTCTCTGGTAAATGAGCGGTTCTCGTTCTCTGCTGTTCGGTGTTATGTGATGAATCTCTCAGCCTGGCTTCTTGCAGGTTCTCCTAGATGTGTGTGCTGGCAAACGTCTGCCAGGGACCAAATACCTGCAGTGAGCAGTAAATTCACCTCTTAAGAGTGCTGAGCTCTCCTAAGTGAGGTGCAGAGGAGTTGACCAGCTCCCATCTGTTGCAAGATTCACCCACTTTTCAACTTCTTTTTCCCCCTCCCATGAGACTAACCTCAGTGCTTATCTCTTTTTTCCTTTTCTCTTTCTCCTTTCTTTCAGTTTCTCACACTCTAGGCAATGGCCACCTCCTAAAACGTCTCTCTCACGATTATTTTACTTGCCTCACACATTGCTTGATCTTTGCCTGGATGCCTTTGCATCTGTACTCTTTTATTATTTGCCCCTCACCTTTGTCCTCTTTCATATTCCATTTCCAGTCTCTGGTTTCAACTACACCTAAACACTCTCCATGTAAACATAAGGGAATGGCATCAGTAAAACAGCATAAAACATGGCAGGGCAAATATCACCTAGGGAGGAGAAAGCTCAGGGGGGATCTCTTACAGAATCATAGAACAGTTTTGGTTGGAAGAGACCTTCAGGATCACTGAGTCCAACCCAATTTGCTGTCAGGAACTGGAGAGCACGAACATGGAGTTCGCTGTGTCGCTCCTCTGTGAATGCACCTTTTCCTCCCGCTTGTAAAAACGCGGTCGCTGCTGTTCCGCCACCAGGAAAGAGGAACCTTTGAGTTTGAAGGCTGGTAGCGCTCGGCTTTCGCTCACAGATAGCCCCAAGCTTACTGAAGTGATGCCTCTAACAGATGTTGAGTCTTGCAGCGTGACAGGTACTAAATGAGCGCAGATTTTAAAGTAATTTTAGGTCCTTTTTCTCCAGCTGATTGATAATGGAAGTTAGAGGCTCCTCAACAGCAACAATCAGTTAAACTGTCACTCGTGGGACGTGTTTTGTGCCAGCCTCACTAATTCTAACACAGCACTGTGACACGAGGGTGAGAAGAAAATAGAGTCAGTTTTTCACAGTGACCCACTTGACCTCCTTCTGGCAGCAACAAATGCCGAGACATGTAATGAAGTGACACTGCTGGTTTCTTTACTCATGGTCCTTTAAGAATTTCAGAATGAACATTTCCAGATGTTATTTCTGCTTATTATTCTGTGCCATCGAGTCAAATGTTCCCTTTGGGTTTGCAGGACAGGACTGAGAACAAGATCAAAGTGCTGTACTTGAAGCAGCTTGCCTCAAGAAAAGCGAAACCTTTGTGAGATCTCTGTAACCCTTTGTATTTGATTCCTCACAGCGTTGGGAGGTTGGAGCCAGCGCCGAAATGTGGTGGTTTCAGCAAGGCCTCTCTTTCCTGCCCGTGGCTCTGGTTGTTTGGTCGGCTGCGTCTTTCGTGTTTTCGTACATCACCGCAATCGTCCTGCACCACGTTGACCCGTTGGTGCCCTACATCAGGTCAGTGACGGTGCCGTGGCAGCGCAGCGTCGCATTGAGAGGCCGATGAATTCACCCCCGTGAATTCCTCCCCAGCTCCAAACTTCAGGCAACAGTTCTTACCCAACAGCTCCAGCTCCAAAGTTACTCCCTGCGTGTAGTCATTTGTGTGTGACTGTTTAAAACCGTCTATTTTTGTGCAAAAATCTAACCTTTAAGCTGCGGCTGCATGAACGTATCCTTAAAGCGAGGATGAACAAGAACACTGGGGGTGCGTCTCCAACCCTCTGTTCAGAGTGAAGCGTCTGGGAATCCTGGAATGTCTGAGGTTGGGAGGGACCTTGGAGCTCATCTCCTCCATGGGCAGGGACAACCTTAACCAGCCCAGGTTGCTCCTGGTTTC